GCTGCCTCCCTTCCTCTCGCCTCCCCTGTCGCCGCGTCCCACGAGAGAGGCCCGCACCCCAGTGGCGCTCTGCAGGGTTCCCGCCGCGTAGTTTTCTGCCGCGCACAGAACAGGGCGGGGGGAGCGCCCCGCGCACCCAGCGCCTGCCCCTAGCTCCGCGGTGGGGACGCCAGGCCCCCTTGCGCTGCAGACAGCAGCAGACAGGGATGCGCCCCGTGCAACCTCCGCACCCCGCCCAGCCAGTCTCCCTCCAGCTCCGAGGCGCGCACAGGAGCAGGGTCCCTCCGCAGGCGGTCTCTGGTGGCCAGGCGTGACGACCCCCATCTCCCCCTCAGCCTCCCCGGTGGAGCGCCCAGGCGCACAGCCACCCCGCCCCAGCAGTGAAAAGCGCAGCTGGGCCCCAGCTTCTCGCTCAGGGAGGCTCCATCCAAACGCGGATCGGCTGGCCCGGACGGCATCAAAGAATTGGGGTGGGGTTTTTTTTCCACACGCAGCCGCCGGATCCGTGAAGGAAAAGGCCGAGACATTAGCGAGAAGGGACACCCCGCAACGCAGGGCGCCCGCAGTCCCAGGGCTGCTGCACCGGCTGGCTGCGGCAACAGTCCCAGCCCACGAGGCAAAACACATCAGGGATGTTGAGATCGCGGGGGACGATTGAGTAACTCGGCTGCAGCCAAGCATCTTTGCTCTCCGCAGCGGAGCCGCTCCGGCAACTCATCAGGCTTCTGAGAATAAACCGTTGCATTACCCTAACTAAAAGGAAAGCCATTACTAAGTGTTTATGCAACATGAAGGAACGGGATCTGGCCGGGCTCCCAAAATAAAAGATCCTCACTGAGCCCTGCAACCTTTGAACGGTTTAAAACGGAGTGGAAGGCTAAGTAAATGCTCACTGCTCATAAATTCCTTCTTTAGCGTCCCCTTCCCGTACAGTGAAACTCCAGCGGAGTTAATGGTCTTAGAGAATCACCAGCTACAATTGCATCCATCATCCCCCCCCCCCCCCCCCACCTCGCTCCCACACTCCTAAATTATTAAGCACAGCAAGAAATGTCACCTTACGTACTGGGGATTTTATGTGGCTTCGTTTAAGCACGTACGGGTTGTAGCACTCGCGGGGAGGGACCTGAAACTGGCAAGCACCACCGTGTGGCAGGAGAACATCAGTCGCTGAATACTGCGGGGTTGAAGCAATAAATAAAATACATCTCACGCACAAGGGGTTTTTCCTCCTTAGCTAGCGGCACCTGGCCTGAAGTGGGGAGAGGAGGAATCATAGAATCATAGAGCTGGAAGAGACCTCAGAAGGTCATCAAGTCCAGCCCCCTGCCCAAGGCAGGACCAATCCCAACTAAATCAACCCAGCCAAGGCTTTGTCAAGCCTAGACTTAAAAACCTCTAGCAGTGGAGAGTCCACCACCTCCCTAGGTAACC